TGAATGCGTAACTAAAACGTGGTCTCTACGTGCAGTGGAATATTATTCGGCCCTAAAAATGGAAGGAAATTCTGACCCAAGCTACAACAGGGATGGACCTTGAGGATATTATGCTAAGTTAAATCAGCTGTCACAAAACGACAATACTGTACGATTCCACTTTATACAAGATACTCAGAGTAGTCAAATTCATAGAAATAGAAGGTAGAATGGCAGTTTCCAGAGAGTGGGGGAGGGGGAAATGAGTTGTTTAATGAGTGCAGTTTCAATTTTGGAAGCTGAAAAAATTCTACAGATCTGTTGCATGACAACGTGCATGGAGTTAACATGGCTGAGTTGTACACTTAGAAAAGGTCAAGATGGTAAACTTTGTTATGTATTTAACCACAATTTAAAAAAACAAAAAACAGAACAAAACTGAGTCTGGCATGTAGAAGGGATCTGGGATTATCAGGAGCAGAGACTGTCAATCAGGCCTTTGGAGTCACTTTAATCTCTGGGCACCCCAGCACAGGTTGAGTATTGATGGAGGACACAGTCCAGCCTGGGACAGGGAGGCCTGCATCTGGGAAGAGGTGGGCATGACTCTGGAAAGGGCCTCTGGGCTCTTGAAGGGGCTGTGTCTAGGTGGCTGGAGTGGAAGGAGGGGTGGTCTGTCAAGATGCACACACAACTCTTGGACCACAGATGCTTTTTGGTCAGTCCCTACCGTCACACAGCAGAAATCCAGGTCTTTTGGTCTTGGCAAGAGGACAACTCCACCTTGATCAGGGCGCCTGGGTGGCTCAGTCTGTTAAGTGTCTGCCTTCCGCTCAAGTCATGATCTCAGGGTCCTGGGATGGAGTCCCACATCGGGCCCCCTGCTCAGCAGGGAGTCTGCTTTTCCCTCTCTCTCTACCCCTCCCCCCTGCTCTCTCTCTCAAAAAAATAAATAAATAAAATTAAAAAAAAAAAAAAGAGGACAACTCCACCTTGACTAGTCCAACAAGAGATCCTTAGCTCATGAATGCCCAACAATGGCCAGAGCATCACTGATCCCTCTTGATTTTCATATTCATTCAAGAAGTATTTGTTGAGCACCTACTCTAGCACCTATGTGTCAGGCACTGATGAGTGCTGGGGATAAAGCCGTGAACATGGCAGGGAGCATCCCTGCTCTCTTGGAAGTTACATGCAAACGGCAGTCATACAATAAGCCAGTAACACAGGTGTAACTGCAAGTAGACAGGCCCTTTCCCAAGTGGATGTCCCATTGCCTGAGAAACGCAGGCAGGTGGAGGGGACCCAGGTGGCTATCACCATAGAAACCACATGGCACAAACTGCCCTGAATCTGCCAAGACTGAGGTCTTGGAGTGAGTGAAACTGTGAAATGCTGTGGAGCCCGGGAAAGAAAAGACAGCAATGGCCCCAGACATCTCATTGATGTTGATTAATCGAACGATTAGTACCATTAATCCCTGCTACTCAAAGTGCAGTCCCCAGTTCAGCATCACCCGGAAACTTCTTAGAAATGCAGCACCTCAAGCACTACCTGAGAGCCTCCTGGACCAAAGTCTGCATTTTAACAGGATCCTAATGTGATTCATGTGCAGAATTCGGGAAGCCCTTTATTAGACCATTAGTGGTGGTTACCTCTGAGGAAAATGGGGGTGAATGGATGAGACGGACCGTCTGCATTTTAATTCATACACTTCTGTATCACTTGTATTTCATGGGAGGCTTTTAAAATTAAAAAAGAAGAGCGCCTGGGTGGCTCAGTCGTTAAGCATCTGCCTTCCGCTCAGGTCATGATCCCGGGGTCCTGGGATCAAGTCCCACATTGGGCTCCCTACTCAGCGGGGAGCCTGCTTCTCCCTCTCCCCTGCATGTGCGCTCTCTCTGTCAAATAAACAAAATCTTTAAAATAAAAATTAATTTAAAAAGAGGCAAAATGTATTAAAAGCATCTTAGAAGACAATTCCCTTTATTAAAGGGGAGATATAAAATGCAAATAAATGTACTACGTATCTCAAACATCACACAGACGCCCTGTACCTAAACCTAAGTCCCCACAGCTTCACACGATGTCCACCCGCCCCACTCCTCCCCGGGGGACCTGGCTTGCTTCCGACCCCCAGCAACAACCTCGAGTTGAGAACACCGGTGTCCCATTCGGAATTCTTCGTGACTGGGACGTGGGCTGCTCACGGCCAAGCCTGAGCAGCCCTGCTCCTCCACCCTCGTGCGGGTCCGGCTTGAACCTTCGGCCGCAGCCTCCCGCTCCGTGAGGGCCAGCACACCGGGCCAAAGTGTCCTGACCATACAAGTATCCACACGCCCCAGTTCCCTGTGACAGCGTGGGACTTAAAACAGTACCGAGTTCCTGCTGCTCATGAGTCCGGGCTCGGTCGGGCGGTTCTTCTGGACGGGGCCAGATCAAGTGAGGCTGGACGGCTTAGGACCGCCTGGCTGACGCGACCGGACCCAGCATGCTAAAACTGCGAACCACCGTTCCCACCTCTCTCAGCAGACTCTCCCACAATCCCTCACGGGGCAATTAGGGGATTCCCATTGGGCAAAGCAAGTCACGTGAGCCGAGTGGGCGTGGCTTCCGGGAGCAGCTGTTCTCTAGGGGTCATTACTGGAATCCTCTTCCACAGACTCTGTGCCTCTGACCCTCTCTCCTTCACTTCCAGGCCGTATTAGCCAGCAGATGCCGAGCCAGCGTATGGATCTTGTCAGAACACTCAACTTTGCCATCCTAACTGAACCCCACCCTTCCCTCCTACTATCGTCTCACATACTCCCTCCCTGACCTCGGGTGCTCGGCACCTCAGCGCTTACCTCCTTCCTGCTTGTCACACTGGCCTAGGAAACACTGGGCCCGGGATCAACCCGGATGTGACCCCATTTCTCCAGGGCAAACACGGGCTGCAGAGCCCACTGGAGCACTGTGTGCCCCCACACTCCCAGTCAAACCACAGAGGGGCTGTCAGCACCGACTCTGGCAACCAGTCACCCCCGCCCGCCCCTGTGGGCTCTCCCTCCGGGTACCCATGGTGGCCAGGGGCTGCGGCCAGCCTTCTCCCTCAAGCCTCCCCTTTCTCTTAGCATGCGGCCTGGCCCCCATGCCATTCATTATTCCTCTTTCTTTCTTCAAAGCCCCTCTTTTTTTTTTTTTTAAAGATTTTATTCATTTATTTGAGAGAGAGAGAGCACACATGAGAGGGGGGAGGGTCAGAGGGAGAAGCGGACTCCCCGCTGAGCAGGGAGCCCGATGCGGGACTCTATCCTGGGACTCCAGGATCATGACCTGAGCCGAAGGCAGTCGCTTAACCAACTGAGCCACCCAGGCACCCTTCAAAGCCCCTCTTAACCTCTGGCATGTTGTGTATAGATGTTGGCTTATAGCTTGTTGGTACTCTCCAGAATCTAAGCCCTCTGAGAATAAGGTTGTTTGGGAGAGTCTTGGGTTAATTCTTGTATCCTCAGCACCAGAACCACGCCAGGCACAGGGGGACCCTTGATGCCTGTTCATTTAATGCACGAAGCAGAGAACAGTTCCAGTGCAGAGTTCACGGGAGGTGCCAAGTTAACGGGTTTGCAGTTAGCAGGGCTGCCTCCCTCAGAGGACAGGAAAGAGCTTCAGGGCAAGCCCTGGGCGTCGGTGGAAGAGGCAGCCAGGAGCAGGCACTGGTGGAAAGCCCCTGGTGGGTTGTAGGCCAACTCACTGAGGTGCAACCACTGACCACCTGCCTAGGAATCACCCCTGGGAGCCTATGACCAACTCCAGGGTGGGAGGACTGGAGGGCAGGTTGTCCCAGAGGCTTGCTGCATCTGACTTTAATGTAGGTGTTTACAGACTGAGTTGCCTGTGAACCCTGGAGATGAAGATCCCCTGGTCCCCACCCTCACTGGAGTCACCCATCAATGCTGACAGCCCTGCAGGAACAGTCAGTGATGGAGCCTGGGCTCTGCAGTCATCAAGGGGGACAGAGGACAGGAGTCCGGGCCAGGAAATCAGCAAAGGCACAAGGCCACGTGGCAGGTGTGGCCCAGCCATGGAACTGACGAGTATCCAGCTCAGCTGCAAGAGCTGCAGGAAGGAGCCCTAGTCTCATTCCCAGGCCTTGACTCTGAAGCAGGAACCAGGACTCAACCAGGCTCAAACTGAGCACAACTGTGTGTGACTGGGTTGAGGGCCACCTGGGGAGGGCTCTGCCATGCTGACAGGACCCCATGTGCAACTTCAGCAGGGCAGGGGTGTGTCAGTCAGACTTCAACCCTGGTGTCCTACTTCCCAGTCCTCTTTAGAGGAGGGGCCCCAGCAAGAGGATCTGTCCCCAAGCCTCCCTTGGGAACCAGAGGCACTGAAGCAAGAGTCTAGAGATGGGTCCCAAGCAGGTACCCAACCTGTGGTGAACTGAGACCTCAGCCCCCAGGCATGGCCACATGCCAAATCCCATGAACCCCACTGCTTAACACCTCACTCCCTAGTCCAGACCTTCTCAAACCTGGCACCCGCCCTTCTTCAATCCTCAGCTTCCAGCTAAGTGCCGGTCGGCCCACTGCACCATGATAGGGTGGACCACAGCGCAGGCCCCGACTACTGCCATGGCCTTGGCAAGTTGAGGCCACTATGGCCAGGAAGTTCTGCCCAGCTGCTGGCCACTCCTTGTTTACCAGTCTCACCTGGGGGCTAGGCTCATGGCAGGCCAGGTCAGCCATCCATGGCAAGGCCAAGCAGGATCCTGATGCACCTTCCCCTCCCTAACAGCCAAGAATCCTCAGAGCTTTGAGACAGCCATTGGGTGCAGATGAAACTGCCCCCAGCACACTGGGCCCCTTGGGAGAAAGGCATCCAGAGCCCCAGACCTGGGCTGTGCAGACAAGGCTGTGCTCTGAGGTGGGCCCAGGTCTCCATATCCCTCAAGGCCCCAAAGATAGTCACCAGGAAACCAACCCAGTGACCAAGAAACCACAAGCAGGGACAGGAGAAAGCTGGAGTCTACAACAGCATAAGGAAAAAGGGAATTTTATTTTTCAAGAAAACGTACTAACAGGTTGAGGGAAGGAGCACGTTGGCCACGTCCCCTGTTCTAAGCAGGGGTCTGAGATGAGGCCAGACCTGACCAGGGCTTGGGAGGAGCTAATGGGACTCCCTGTGGCACTGGGAAGAGGACCAGGCAGGCCCAGGGGTGAGACTTTGTTCTGTTAGCACCAGGAACCGCCCACAGCCACTGCTGGACTCGGAGACAGGACAGCGGGTGGCCCTGCTCTGCCTCCACCTGAGCAGTCTTGGGAGGGGCTGGTGGCAGAAGGCTCCCTGCAAGTGGTCATCTGAGCGTTTTTCTCAGATTCACAGACCAACCTCGGTCCCCCCAGCCCCCTGTAAACACAAGAATGAGCTCGTGACCACCAAGTCCCTCAGGACAAGATGAGGGTCCGAGACGTGTGGCTGGGCTTCAAGCGGCCCAGGAGCTGCCGGGCTTTCTCTTGCATGAAGAGCTGGTCCCTGGTCCCCCCACAGGCCACTGTTTTCCAGGCACTGGTCATCTGCGAGGAAGGAAGAGAGTTACCATCCAGGCAGAAGCAGCACGCTCCCAGTGAACGTTGTGAGCATGGCCAGGAGGAGTGGGGGATATTTCCATGACCTTCCTCCCTTCTGAAGCCACAAGTATTCTTGTGCTCCCTCCACCTTCCCGGTGGCCCTGGGGAAGTTCCTCCCGTTTCTGGGCTTCCTCAGATGTAAAGCAAGGAGGATGGACCAGGCAACATGGCCGTGCCCCTGCCCATGTGGCATGAGCCTCCTCACGTGGAAAAGCGACAGCCAAGCAGGCCAGTGGGAAGGAGCAGCGAGAAATTCCGAGACAGTGAGGTGTGAGCAGCCAAGGCAGCCCCTGCCCCTGAGCACAGACATGTGCTAAGCAACTAAATACAGAGACAATGATTAATTACAAGTGAGACCATGCCATAATAAAGGGGCTCATGGGGGGTGGGAGGGGCTCTCCAGCACACAGGCTCCCTCCCTGAGGGAGCGGCGTCCAGACTGAGATCTGAAGCATCAGCTAATCAAGCAAACAGAGCCTGAGAAGGGCATTCAGGCAGAGGCAACAGCCCGGGCGATGTCCCCACGGGTAACACCACATTAGTGGCCGGCACTCACAGGGGCAGGTGCTGGAAAGTGGCTTCGGGGCTTCGGGGCTGCCACCGGCTTCTCGGGCTTGGCCTGCAGGAAGCCCTCGTTGAGGAGGCTGGTGTCCTCTTTGATGCCTGGCACCGTGAGGCTGGAGGAGCTTGACAGGACATTTGTCGGCTGCAATGAAAGCCGAGCCAGACTCACCCTTCTGCCACAAGCATGGTGGGAAGGAAGGAAACCAGTCACAGCCCAGCAGCTCCACCCCGGGGCTATTGGATCTTGGGCAGGACATTAACTTCTCTAAGCCTCGGGTCCTCTTCCAGATGGGGACTGCTCTGTCAAGTGCCTGTTTCAGAGCCTGGCACCTAATAGATGCCCAATAATGCCAATCCCTTTTCCATGGAGCTGGCTCCTCCCCGACAGGCCTAGTTTCTCCTGGGACCAGAAATCTCCATCAGTCACAGATGCCAGCATCAACCGGCACACACAGAGCTGCACAAAGTACCCCCAGCCTGGCCCGCCTCCTGGCTCTGCTTGACCTTTACCATCCTAATATTCTGCTGGGCTTGGTGCTCTGATAAAAAAGAACCTGAGGCTTGAGAAAACTAAGAGATCCCAGAGAGCAAGAGCCAGCGTTGGGACTCTGCCAGGCCCACCCCACCTCAAATCCCATGTTCTAAACTACTTAACCACACAGCTTTACTGTTTGGCAAGTATTTTACGTGCCCAAGGCGATGCCTGTTGCAGGTATGGCTGCACGGTACTAAGTCCCCAGCCTGGTGGGGCTCCCTGCCCAGTGATGCTTCTCTGCAATCTGCAAGGGCTATGGCTGCAGCAGTCCTAACTCCTCAGATCTGCAGGATCTGATCAGGCAATCCTTTGTCTCATCCCCCCAAGCCTCTGACTGCCTCCCACTGGGCGATGCACCCCACTGTCAGCTGCAAGGGATCAACAATGTGGCGTACTTTATGAGGGCAGGCTCTGTCGACAACAGCCCCCTTCCTGAGCTCAGCCTGGAGCTGGACAGCACCCTTCCCAGGGCTGATGTGCCCCAACCACCTGGCTGTGCCTTGAGGAACATCACTGACCCTCTCCACGTCACCAACTCTCTCCATGTCACCCCCATGAGAAGGTGCTGGGGACCCAGATCCATGGTTTTCAAACATGTTCTAGAAATACAACTCTAGCAATGCTATAAACCCTTCTGTGAAAGACATATGCAGAGCTGCCTTGACTGAAATCGGGGGTGGGTGCCCAGCCCCACTTTCTCCATCAGCCCCTTACAGCTGAGCCTGACACCCAGAGCCCAGTCCACGAACCACCAGACCACTTCACTGCCAGGGTCCCCTCACAGCTAAAGGGTTCTAAAGGCAGAGGGCCTCCAGGGAGACTCCATCCTCCCTGAGGCAGAGGAGCCTTCTGCAGTTCTGGGCAGGGGGAGCAGGTGACGGGGCAGCTTCTCTCTCAGACCCCTTACCAAGGACAGCACCTTGGGCAGCGTGGACATTACCAGCTTCACATCTTCATCCACGATGTCAAGAGCCAGGGACTTGCGGACCTTCTTGATGGGGCTCCGCCGTAGCTAGGGGTGGGGAGGAGGGAGACAGAGCAGATGTTTGGGATTCCCCCGAGTCACCACCAGCACTTTGGGGACGCCTGCCCCAACTACCCTGGTCACAGAGCCACACCCTGATGCAGTGGAGCCTTCGAACCAGGTCCCCGGCTGGCAAGGATTGGCGGTGTGCAGGTAGACCAGGAGACCCTGGCCCCATCACAGATTTAGCACCCAGGGCAGACCGTCCTGCCAGATGCAACCACAGAGAGCCAAGACACAAACACCTCCACCCAGAGACCCATTCCTCATGCCCAAATGGACCATGCACAGCCCCCAGGCCTCTAACATGCTAAACACACCCCTAAACAGGCCCAGGAGAGAATCATCCAAGTTACACTTCAAATATCCACCTGCAGATGAGGAACACAGACATGTAAAACTGAGGGACACAGGCCTGCTACAGGAATACCCAGCCCCACACCTGTGCCTCCAATCAGCAGGTCAGGGGTCAGCTCCAATACAGGGGAGGAGCTCTGGGACTAACTCACCCCGCAACCTAGCAGTACACCCTAAACAGATGCTGCCATGGCTCAGAACCACCACCTGACACGGAGAGGCCAGGGAGGGCCCTGGGTCAAGTTCTCTGAACCTACACACCCAGGGGCCCCTGCCCCATGGGCCCCTCCCACACCAACTGCCCACCTTCCCCACACACCCGTCTGGCGCATTCCCATCTTCCCACCTCTCCCCAGAAGAAAGCTTGTGCAAAAAAGGGGGACATGGAATCCGTCTGCTTTCAGGAAACCACACACGTGGTGCAGCAAGGGCGTGGCTTCTGGGTTGGCTTGGGACAACCCCTGCCCTGCACGCTGCACCCAGGTGTCCCTGACCAGTGTCCCCACCAGCTCTCCACCTCACCTGAACCAACTGTGCCCCACCTTGCTCACACGGCCCAGATGCGTGGCTGACTTCGTCTGAGGACTTTCCTCTAAATCCTCTCTTTGTGTCCCTTTCTACTTACTCCCTTACTGCTGTGTGCATCGAGGGTCACTGGTGTGTTTGTCTAGTATCTGCCTCCGCCCCCTCACCTCCAGGAGGGAGTGACCTGGGTCTGTGTCACCATCTCCACTGCACCCAGCCCAGAGCCTACTTTAGAAGGGTCCAAACACAGTGAGTGCTGCTTAAGGAAGGGCCTAGCTCAGAGGAGATAAGGGGAAGGTCCCGAGCACCAGGGCCTCACTTTGGTGGGTTTTGTTGATAACCACTCTGGGCAACAAAGGTCAGGGGCTGCAGCTCCACCTTCCCCAGTGACCAACTTTTACCAGCTATTCCCAGACTCACCCCTCCCCACTCTCTCCCCACCTCCTCATGGCTCCACCTCTCTTGGCCCAAACTGCCCAGGCTGGCAGGAAGGGGATCTCCAGCCCCCCCGGCCACTCACCCCAGCCTTCCTCTTCTGCTTCTCAGGCCTCGCCTCGTCCTCAATGATGAGCTCGATGCCAGCCTCTGAGCGCAGCACCTCTTTCAAGTCCTCCTCCAGGTGCGGGGTCTGGGGCTGCGGGTGGGGTGGGGCAGCCCACGTGAGGCTGCACAGCCAGGCTCTAGGACCCAGCCACAGCCCGGCTGCCCGAGGCAAGGCAGGAAGGAGGCCCAGGGCCAGGACGCTGACCTCACACTCTGTTGTGACCCTTAACTATCCTGCCTTGCAGGACAGACAAGCAGACACTGACTTCAACTCACTGAGGGCCATCATGAGCCAGGAGTACCCCCAGATCACCCCCGCCACCCTCACACAACCCCATGCAACATCTGTCATCTTCTACAGGTAGAAATGGGAGGCTCAGAGAGAGTAAGCACCTGGCCCAAGGTCACAGAGCTGTGGAGTTAGAACCTGGACACGATCAAGCCCTAAGTCCTCACCCCCTTTGTTCCACACTAATGGGGACTCTTGGTTCCATTTCCTGTTCTTGGGCCTGTGGGGTTCCAGGCAACCCCTCTGGCCTCAGGCGGCAGTGACCAGGGAAGGGAGAGAGCAGCAGGAGTAGCGGACGGCTACCCTGCAAAGTCACTCTACAAGTCCCTACATGCTTTAATTTTAGTTGCCAAGGTCAGATGTGCCCCCTCAAACCAGTCTGGAAAGCATGCCACCATCTCAGTGTCTGGGAACCATAGCCCCGTGCTTCACTGGGCTCATTAACTCCATCCACTCATCAGCTCCATCCCAGGGCCGGGGAGACCACAGCAAGAGAACCCCACACCGTGGCGGTGATGCTGGGGGCAGGGCAGGCACACCACAGACCCTGTTTACAGGCCAAATGCTTCCTGACGACCTCTCTCTCACCTTCAAGTCATTTCTAGAACACCTGCCTCTGTTTCAGAAAGCCCACTGTGCCAGCTTTCTGTTTTCACCGGGGAGAGCATGACCCTCTGGGAGGAGTGGGGAGAAGGGGGGTCTGCCCACTGCCAGGAAGGTGCCTCCTCACTGGCCCCTCAGGCCCACCCACAAGTTGGCTTCCCTAAGTGTTAGAAAGCAGCGGCAGTTGGTCAAAGGCTTCGGTGGGAGGAGCCACTGGCCACAACACCCGAGCCATCGCGGCTCAGGCCCATCTCCTCCCCGGCGCAGGAAGCGCACTGCAGAGTGCTGAGTTCTCCGGGTGCCAGTGCTTCAGGCCACCCCCACCCCAAACACTGAGCTTCACCAGGATGCCACTGCGCCTCCAGCACCAGCCAGTGCCCACCCAGCACGTTGCAGATGCTCAGGAGATGTCTGATGAATTGTAACTCAGTCTCTGATCCCCCATTTGTAAAATCAGGATATTTGCAACTTCTCAGGGCTGCGTGAGGTCTCAGAGGGAAAGGGCTCTGTGAGCCGTACACGGCTACGTGGACCCGAGAGACCCCACCGTGCACACCCGTCTGGCTGCACCACATACCAGGGGCTTTAGTGGTCCGTACTTCTCCAGGGCATTCTTGAATGGGGTTGGCGTGTGGGGAGTGTTGTCCATGGAGTACTTCTGATCTGGGGTTACAAACCTGTCAGGCAGAGAATGAGGCTGAACGATGGGGTAGGGGAAAGACACCAGCCACTCTGCCACAGACTGCCCATGACTCCTACCGTCCCTCCACCTGACCTTTGGCCTTGGCAGCAAGGAGGAAGCCCCAGGCATATGGTCTCTTCCCATGGCACTTCCCTACCCACCTTCATACCCCTGAGGATCTTCATCAGAGGCTTAGAGGAAGGGCCAGCCTCAGAAACAGGAAAAAATAGGACATAGTCCTTCCAGCCAGGTGGAAGAATGTTTGAGAATGTTCCTCAGTCATTAGCTGATCAATGATGACTTTTTCATAAACAAGGGAGGCCACACTGCAGGCCCGCAAGAGAAGGGCAGGGGAGCAAGGCGAGAATCCAGGAAGACCAAGTCCCTTCCCCAAGCTCTTCCAGAGCACGAGTGGCAGTAGCATTATTAAGGGAAGACACGTGATACGAGATGGTGAGGCCAACACACGTGCTCAGCATACCCTCTTCCCAAGTCCCCTCAAAATGATCACAGTGGGGACACAAATGGGGAAGGAGAGCTTTAGCAGACAGAAACGTGGGAAGGGAAAAAAAAAAAGAAAGAAACGTGGGAAGGGTCTGGTCCACAAGCAGAGATACTAAAAAGCTTCTATCAGCCCTGGCCCCAGCAGCGAGAGATTTCTGCCTGTGATGGAGAAGCCTCCTGGGGAAGGCCCAGAAGAGAACCCTCTCACACACACACACCAGGCCCAGCAAAGACCCCTCACACACACACATACCAGGCCCAGAAGAGACCCCTCACACACACACATACCAGGCCCAGAAGAGACCCCTCACACACACACACACACCAGGCCCAGAAGAGACCCCTCTCACACACACACACCAGGCCCAGAAGAGACCCCTCTCACACACACACCGGGCCCAGCAGAGACCCCTCACACACACACACCGGGCCCAGAAGAGACCCCTCACACATACACCGGGCCCAGAAGAGACCCCTCTCACACACACACCAGGCCCAGAAGAGACCCCTCACACACACACACACCAGGCCCAGAAGAGACCCCTCACACACACACACACCAGGCCCAGAAGAG